ACTTGGTCCAATCACACCACAACACGCGGCACGGAAAATGAAGAACCGACGAAGAACCACCGAACCCACCGATACGTTTCAACATACAGTTACATTAAAATAATATTTTTTCTCTTTTTTTTCATTATATTTTATTACTTGAAACATTCAAAATCTCACCGTTAATGTTGCTCTTATGTGGATATCTCTAATTTTTTTTTATTTTTATAATGTGATAAACTCATTGAGAACCATCCAATGAAGGTGGTCTTATGTGTAAGCTTTAGTTTCACTCGAGTGAAGAAAACTCTTCCCGAATTTTTCTGTCATTATTACAAAAACCTGTTTTTCTTTCAATACATATACAAGATATTAAGTAAAATATTACAAAATTGTTGTAGAATCCCATAATTATATTAGTCATACATTTTTCTATGAACCATTTGTTTTATGTTTTTTTTTTTCTATGAACCATTTGTTTTATGTTAGTGCATCTCATATAGTACTATTCATTCGTCTTGTTACATTTCTGTTACTACTGCCTCTAATTTATCTTTTTGTAATACAACCATGACCTTTTTTTTTTTATCACAACACAACCATAACCTCTAATTACTTTTTGATTAATGATTAAATTAAGCTAATGGTGGCTCTTGTCTCTGACCAACACCTAATAAACTACATTTGTGTAATGTGTAATCTTCAGTTTTTATAGAATCCTTATGTGTAATGTGTAGTATGCTTCAGTTTCACCCGAGTGAGTAAAACTCTTACCGAATTTCTCTGTCACTATTTACAAAAAGCGGAATTTTTTTCAATATTAATACAAGAAATTAAGTACTAAAATATTACAAAGTCGTTGTAGAATCCCATAATTATATTACTCATACATATTTTTCCATGAACTTTGTATTATGTAACTTAACCAGAACAGTTGATTAATGATTAAATTAAGCTAATGTGACTCTTGTCTCTGACCAACACGTAATAAATCACATTAATGACCAAATAATTTTTTTAAAAGCAGATACAACCATACACGCGCTAAGATCCTCGATTATACCAAAATCTTGATCATCTAACAGCCGTTGGATCAGCGCGTGAAAGACACTGCAGTTTCCTTTAGCGCATGATTTGAAGGTGGCAATTAAAAAGTCCGCATTGAAGAATAATAATACTGTATTTGGTCAAGAAGGAGGAAAATTCTCTGTTAACAAATTAGCACACTAAACAGTGTAAAACCCTTAAATTTCACTCATCAATGGCGGAAATTTCTTCGATTCTGGGTTTGATGATCACTCTCTTGGTGTTCTCATGGGCTGTATCAATCTGTAATTCTCTTGAAGATTCTGTATTCGACGACAATAATGGAAGCTTTTTCACTGTCTCGAGCTTCAGGTATCCTAAATCCGAAGTCAGGCCTTACGATACTCGTTACATCAGAGGTATTGTTAAAAATTCCGATTCCGATTGTTTCAATAAGGAGGATCTTGTTTTTGGATTGATTTTCGTATGATCTATGTGTTTGATTCTGTACAGTTGATTTGCCTCCATGGTTCTCGTCGTTGAATGTAGCTATGGAATCTGATGTAGATATAGTAAGTATTGAGATAAATCTCTCCAAATTCGATTTGATTGGTTTTGGAATTCAACTAAAAGTGATCTTTATTGATTGGTAGACTGCGAAGAGCATTTCGAAGATTTCGAAAAGTCTGCTTCCTGTTATATGTTTCAGAGATGGTAGTCCTCCTCTGCCTGATGCATCAACCAATGCTCTTGAAGGTTTAGGTACGATTTAGGTAATTATAAAGCATGTAATTAGTTTCTTTGTCTGGTTAATGAGATCACATACCTTGTTGATTTAGTGAATTAAGACTTTTTTTTTCTTCTTGATGTTTTGTAGAGCTAGGACGGTTATTTAATGGATCTTTTGAAGGAGCTGAAGATATTGAGATTGCAGAACAGTGTTACCCGATGCAGAAGAATATATCTTTGAGATTGACTAATGAACAGGTAAACATTTTGAAATTTCGCAAAAATTTGTGTGTTAGGACATGTTAAGATGCTGAGTTTCTTGTTCGATGTTGTTGCTTACAGATATCTCCTGGAGCTTGGTATGTTGGTCTTTTTAACGGTATTGGAGTTACTAGGACTCAGGGGAAAATGGTATGAGTTAAAAGTTTGGTTTTAATGCTTTTTTTTTTTCATATTGTCCTTTCTAAATATAGATTTCTGATACATACTTGAATACTGCACAGATTGTTCGCTCGTCGGCGTTTTCATTTAGTGCCAATATTAGTGTTGAAGGTTGTAAAACCGCTACCATGTGGGGGCCTTCCTGCAACCAAACCATTTATCCGCTTTCATGTTCTCGGTTTGATAACCAGACGGGAAGTGTTGTTTCTTGCTCAGATTCTTATCCGAGTTCTTGCCTTACGGGTGTTGAAACAAAGACATATGCTTTAGATGTAGATGGAATAGCTGAACAATTAGTTATTATGGCATCTAATGTGAAAGTAGATTCCAATGAAAGTTATCTCATGTGTTATGCCCGTTTTGGAGCCATTGCGACAGAGACTCTGCATGATTACGCTGGTGATATACACAAAGCTCCCTTAGTGATTAACAAACCGAAAGTTGGTCGATGGTATATCGTTGCTAGTTTGTCTGGACGGGAGAATCGGCTTGTGCAGGACACAAAATCTAGTTCTAAGGTCTGCTTTTCAATGAATGTTAAAGTGCTCGGGTGTCCTGTGGGAAAGGCAGGACCAAATTGTGGCCAGCAAATCTACATGCTTCAGGTAATTTGCTCTAAAAGTTTTTGAGTATGTCAAAATCAAGATTGAGCTCTATACTTATAATATTGTTGAACACGATACATTTTATGCAGGCAGTTATGAGGAGAGGATCATTGACACCTTTTGAATCATATTATTTGCCGGTCGATGATGCTCCACCTTCAGGCTCGAGTACAGATTTTCCCCTCGAACCCATTTTCAGCAATGTTTCTGCTATTCCAGAATTAGACACAAGCACATGGACTTATTTTCTCATGAACATCCCTCAAGGAGGRGCTGGTGGGCATATCCACTTCAGATTAACATCAGATTCTACGATACAGTATGAGGTCTATCTTAGATTTGGTGGATTGCCCACTCTTGATGACCGGGATTATTATTATGCGAATCAAACAAGTGCCAGCCGCTCAATGTTCTTCTCACTGTATAATTCTAGCCAAGAAAAGGTTGATTTCTACATCTTGTATGCTCGAG